ATGTAGTTACGTTACTAATGTGAAAAACGGCCTCATTATGAGGATCTGTTTGTAGCCAGAAAATTACTGCATTATGACAAATGCATGATTGGGAAGTTACAGGAAGATGGTCATTATTGAAATGAAACTGGAGCTCACTTAATAGCTGCAGCCAGCAGCTGGAATGAAGCAAATGAATGTCTTCCTGTTGTTATTGTTGGAGTCAGGTTTTTCAGGCAGGAGGAGGATTTATTCTAAACCAGAAACTTCTCTTCTCTCCACGCGCTGGGCCTTGGCTTCCACGGTGGGTGGAGAAGCAGTGCTAAAAGCGGCTGCTTCTTACCTGTGAGTCTTCCCCTCATGTGTTTAATGGCACTATTTTAAAGACACAACCACACTGAAGGAGCAATTATTGCAGCAGTTCTGAAAGAGCTTTGCTGGCGGCTGGCTTCAGGCCTCCCTGGCGGGGGTGGGGGGAGTTGAAAGGGGTGGTGGTGGTGAGGAGGTTGTTGTCACAATTAAGCTTTGTCAACATGGCCCCTCCTTCCTGGGTAGTCCCTTTCCCCACCTGCAGGCAGGGGAGGACTGGGCACACTGGGCTGTCTGCCCACGGGATGCTCTTGGGGGCGGGTTCACACCACTGGAATGTACCCATAACTCAGCCCTGTGCATGGAGTAGCTGCTTAGTAAAGGCAGCAAGAGACTTGGACTCAGGACCGTGCATTGGGAATTGCTCTCGGCAGGAAGCATCACTGGCCTCAGACACCTATTTTCCAGTCTGAAATGCTACCAAGCCATAGTCCCGAACCTGTCCTCCTGCTTAAGTAAATGAGGTTACCTTAATGGACTTGCTGTTCAAGTTTGATAAAACAAGCATTTCCTTATTTGGGTATTGAAGAGCCACAGAGAACTCGGGGCAGGGCTGGCTGACAAAGACATTTTGGCCATCAAAATGAAAACTACCACTTCGGATGTCACAAGAAGGAAAATCCCACTGGCTCTGCCCATTGGTATGTTCTAATTGTGGCAGGCCGGTTGGAGCTGCTCTGGCCCCAGCTGCAGCTCAAAGCCCAGTGCCACTTTCAGCTGCCACATTAGCTCTGGCAATCTGAACTTGAACCGACATCACAGACTGTTAAAATTTTATCAATTGCAGTGTGATTAATCCCCCAGTACACGGGCATGACTTAAATATTTAGAATGCTTCTTCTCTCATGACTTCAGCGCATGTAAAGTAACGGGATTAACTGCAGTACACTCAAATATATTTAAATATGTATCCTTCCCGAGCTGCAGGCTATCAGGCGTGTGGAATCGTTGAGTCTATGTGGTCGTGTCAGGCTCTATTTGTATGACCTGCGCTGGATACTGGCCTGCATATGAGAGCCGGATATCTGGCCTTCCACAGGCTGCCTGATTGCCTGCCTCATTTGGCATGGAATGTGATTCCCGGCTATTCTAGCTTCTGATTCATTCAGGTTTTATTGCTGTGTAATTTTCTTATTCTAAAATAAAAGCTCTCCAACAAAAATTACTATGCATTAGGCCGCTGTAGCCCTACTCAAATGGATATTAACACAGTTTATCTCTAAAAGGACGAATAATGTATTTGAAACAGATAAAAGGCCCTCTACTAAATGAGGAATGTTAATATCTTATGGCACGGTTAATAAAGAGATATTTCACAGGGGGGATTTGTTTTATGACTTTTGATACAACAGCCTTCTAATCTGACATATCTTAAGCGATACAGTTTCACACATACATTCGTCTCTTACACACAGCAGCCCATCTTACCAAAATTTGAATTCAGGACAAATAATGGGCACTAATTACTTCCGGGGGTGGGGTAGGGGTGGGAGGTGGGAGAGAGGACTTGTTATAAAACCCATCCTCTCAGATGCAGATCTGTGGAAATCTGTGCGGAAAGTTGGAAGCTTACAGTACATTCTGAGAAACGGTTTGTTTTTCCCCTTCAGCAGAAAATAACATTTGTTTTTGTTGTGTTTAAGGCAGAGTTTAAATTAATTTAACCCAGTGACACGTGTTTGGAGACTAAGCGTGCTGCTAAATAATTCCTTGGAATAAATTGCTCGGGAACCAGTACATTAATTTACGGCTCTCCTGATGCTGACAGATGTGAGGGGGGAGGACCGGCAAATATTAACATAAAACAAATTTGCTTTATTCTTCTTCATATTTCTTCTTCATCCCCGACTTGAGCTCACCAAGGCTCCTTCTCTAATTATCCACGAGGTCAGTAAGCAAAATTGGGGAGAAGCTGGGAGATCAATACAAATTATCCGTGAGCAAACCAGTGCTGACAGTTTGAATCGCAGCATATGTTTACCCAAAATCAGGCAATTTATCTTAATATCAGCAAAGTAATGCAGTGCAGGTGAAAGGTCACCCAATCTCTCCCCCTCATAATTACCCAGTTCTAAAACAGGAAAGTGGTATTGATTGGCCTGGCTTGGGGCTCTGTGAGTGGACGGGCCAGCGCCTTGCCCTGGCTCGGCTGGGCTCTCAGCTGTAAACACGACACGCCGAGGGTTTATTAGATGTGTGGGGAGGTCTGTATGCTTTCTCCTCCAGTTGCAGAATTTGCCAGGGAGGTCTCGGCCAGTCCTGGCTTTACCAGGCACTGGGTGGGGAAGGGCTGTCTGTGGTTTGGAGGGCTGCAGGCCAGATGGGCTGCCCAGGGCTGGGCCTCACTAGGACCAGGCAGTTTTGCAGATACAGCTGCTCCAGAAGCCATGGGGCACATGGAACGACCCCACCAGCAGAGAGCAGAACTTCTCAAGACTGTGGGCATGTCTCAGCTACTGCTACTGCCACTAAACAGGACAGGATTTCATAATCCCTCCATTAAGCTTATGATTCCAGTAGCCAGGCTCCTGGAGCCTGGAGCCCCCTACTTCCCCTAGCTGTGGCTCATCCAGCCTGGTGGGACCTGACCTGTCACACTTGCATACCCTGTCTAAACTTCCCTAGTGGGCCACGCTCAGTTTTGGCAATGGGCTCATGCTGCCGTTGCTCGTTGGGTTGAATCTAGAGGTGAAAGGTGCCCTCGTTTTTATAGTGCTTTAAGATATTTTTGGTCATAGAAGAAGAATATCAATTCAACTGAAACACTGGAGAATGTCGGTCCTGGAGTGAGTGTATGGCCATTACAAGTCATAAAGCTTCTGAAAGCTTGCATTAAAGCGTCTATCACCTGTCAGGATATTTGCATGAAATCAATAATGGCCTCCCATCTATCTTTTCTGATCACCTTTCATCAGGCCGATTCATTAAGTCAGACAGTCGTGGTGATTAGCTGGGAGAGAGGAGAGGCTTGATATGTTAGGAATGCATGATGGGCCACCTTTTGTTCGTTCTCTGATCAAGAAACCTAACACTTTATCTAACCCTTTTTGGACCAAGTCACTTGGTGAGTCTGCAACAGCCACCCATCTGCCCAGTGGGTGCCCGAACTACAATTTTGCCTGACACCCTTGCCCGACACCCTTGCCCAGGCCCAGGCAGAGACATGACAAATTGTCCTCCAAGTCAACGCTGACAGCTTCAGATGATTAATGGTCTGATTATGAAGTGGTTTTACACATATAGAATTTACATCACAGAGAGTTAGAAATTTTGCCGTGTCACATGCGCCAGGGCATTCTGAAGAGCCTTACTGTTTGCAAAGAAAAAAAGAGGGCGAAATCCCAGCAAAAAGCCATGTCATGTAAAATCAATACATCGGATCAATGCTTTATTAACAAGAAAATGTCTTACTTCACATTCCTGTGCGGACCTTTGTCTCCGGGATGTATGATGGAATGTCAAATCATATTGTGGTCCTCAACTTTTGGGCACATTATTGCGGGTATGTGCGAGGTATCCTGCGTTGCTTACGAGATGCACCAACAGCCCAGCACTCAAGGATCAAGGTGACCAAGTACTGTGGAGAGCACTTTCAAAGGCAGTCTCTAACCTTCCTCTTAGGAAGCCGTCGCCTTTGTGTTCCCCTGCATTCTGCAGACCTGCCGAGTTGGGTGGTGGTAATCATCAGATTACTAATGAATGATGGTCCAAATTGCGGGCGGAGTAATGAATAGATGGCGGCAGGTCTTATTAGTCTCCGAAAACCTGATTTATGTCGCGCCGTGCACCATGGAGTTACTCCACGGAAAACGATATCTACATCAAGAAGTAATGTACTCTAATAAGTATTTTCATCTTAACTCGCGTCCCCGGGCCTCCAGGCTCAGTTTTTGTTGGAGTCAGGCAGAGCCGTAATAAAGCCCGATGGCTCTTTATAAAGCTTGTTAAACACAGTGTGTGCAGTCGGACGGAGTCCTGGCCGTGATTCATGCACTGTACACAGTGCATGTGCCTCTGATTTATGGCCATGCACAGTTCATAGTCAAAATTACAATTTGAGGGATAAAAAGATTAATTACTATTTGTGGCCGGCAATTTGGTGGGGGGGTAGATTGCAGCTGTAGAATGATAGCGCTCTACATCAGCTTGTAGTCAGCCATTCACAGATTATTAAAGCTTTTCAAGAGTAAGTGCTCCTCCTGCCTGGTCTGTGCTCAGGCAATATGCTAGACAAAAAAGGACCACAGGGATAAACCTGAGACCAGCAATAGCCGGCCATATGTCATAATTGCCAGTTTCCCATAAATCCCTGGCCAGTGTGGAAGGCACTGTGTGATGCAGACATCACATCACGGTGGTGGTGATTGCTATATATGGCCCCAAGACCTGTCACTCTGTGACTGCACCGCCATTTTGACAATATATTGAGTCACCCTTTGACTTTATTCCAGTCTAATTATAGCTTAGAAATAATCATTGCTCTTATGTGCAAAAGAGAGAGGGACATCAGGTCCTGAAGTTAGAGTAGCATTCAGGCGTGCTCGCCTGAGCATCAGGGAAGGAGAAGCACACATGGATGTGTAAGCATGCAGTGAACACTTAACGGTGACATAACAGTGATTAACCTGATCTACGTTTCTGTCCTGTTGCAG